GAAAATGAATGAATGGATGGATCTTTAACCCCCCCCCACTACTAATGCTATAACAGCTGGCCTACTTCTACTACCACTGCCATACTATACCATACACCATTTTGATTCTAGTAAGCCTACCATGCTTACTACTACTGCCACTACTACTAGTGTTACTGCTAAAGAAGATAGAAGAAGAAGAAACTATTTTCACCTATGGGTAGTTATAGCCTCATAAGTTGTATTTTTGTTGAGTCATATGGTAACATTGGTCCCATTTTTAGATTCAAGGCACTCAAAGCACATAGCATCAACAAACCACTCACCCATTCTCACACACACACACACACACACACACACACACACACACACACACACACACACACACACACACACACACACACACACACGCACACACACACACACACACACACACACACACACACACACACACACACACACACACACACACACACACACACACACACACACACACACACACACACACACACACACCCCAATGTTTGCACTGCAGACACTGGGGGTGAGATGAGTAACGTGTCTTGCACAAGGACGAAACAACTGCATTTATCTGTTGGGAAATCGCCAATGTGTGGACCAGTAGATCTCACCTCTCTACTGATTACTTTTATGTTGAGAGTGGGATTTGAACCGCCAACCTTTGGATTACTGGACACTGGACTCATTTCAGAGTAATTCAGCCATCGGTGTGAGTTTAGACCAGTATTATAGGGATATAGCGGGATAAATCCTGGGGTTTTGCTACACTTTGATAATCAGTGATAATGCACATGTCTGCTGTATTATATCTCCTGTGTTTACTCATTATCCGAGCTGAAGCAGTGACTTTTCCCTCAAGCTTGTCTTCATTATCAATGCACTCAATACTTCAGTAGAATATCAATATTATACTATTTCCTAACACTGGTACCTGCCATCCTGTACAAGTCATTGCATCCCCATTACCAGCGCTTTCCTGTTGTTGCAGTTTGACATTGTTGACATGTAATTAAATGATTTTTTACACAAACTTGTACCGCCACAGGAAGGGAAAACAGCAGTCCGCTCCACTGGGACGAGCCCGTGCATGCATAAAACATGAGCGCCAACTTCTAATTAGCATGTTATGTGTTTCTGCTCTCATTAGCAGGAACACATAAGACGCTAATTAGAAGTTAGTTTACTTGTTAATTAGAAGTGAGAGTCTGAAAACTCAAAGTAAAGTAAGCGATGGTTTTATATTATTTTCTGATCAGCTATTGTTGTGCCTTTTTTGCTTGAAGAGGTTTGTAACTCACATAATAAAAAATAAGCACTGGTGGAGATCCAGAACTTGCTTTAATCAATTTATTTTTAAAGAGTAAAAAATATAATATTCTCTGTGGTTGACTTTTAATAGAAATTTAGTGGTCACAAAATAGCATCTCTCCTCATCTCTAGGTGCTGGTTACATAAACCTAATTGCAGGAGGTGGGGAGGGGGGATCAGGATGACCTTAAATACTAACTTTTATAATAAAGAAAAGTGGATTTTAATAAAACATACTTTCATTAAATTAATAATTTCTTATATAAATATAAATTGGCTCTTATAGTTATGTTTCCTCATCACAGACTGGAGTTGTCTTTTCGGGGTCAGCCCTAACCCTATGTTCCCTCAGCTCTATGTTCCCTCATTTCTAAGATTTTTCTCAAAATGAAACTCTAATTCATGACTTTACAGCATCCTACATGTGTAGAATTTATCATACTTTTAGGGCTAATTATGAAATGTTATCCTTTCCACTCACCTCATGGTTTGGTAATTTAGTTTTTTAACATTCAAAACCCTGTGGAATAATTTAGCCCAGACTCTCAAATCTATTTCCTCACTGGAATATTTTAAAAGACAATTAAAACAAACATTGATTTGTAATTATATCTAATGTAATGAAGTCATTTTTATTTTTATACCGCATTTAAAAGGATGATTCAAGGTCATTTCAACCTAGGCTCCTTTGCACCATGACCTCTATATTATTACATCTGTAGTCAACTGCTGCTGGAGAACAGGTTTGGTGAAACTGACGACCAAATTGGGAGAAATGGGGATAAAATCTGATACAAATTGATGATAAAGGAAATGTGGGCCTAATTTTGGGGAAAAAATTGATTGATTCGTTTATATTTTGAGCTTGTGCCAAAAGAGAAACAATAATCATGTATACTACAAATACACTGGAAACAACAAAAAAGCAAATTTCTCGAAAAAGGAGTAACCCATCCCTGTTCATTACATAGTTTAAAAAAATATGTGGTTGCTTATGTACACATGGAACTTTACAAATATTTACATATATCAAAATTAATTACATACTATGCATACTAAATATAATTTTAACCCAAAACCTTTTTTTTTTTTGTATTGTACTGTGCATATATATACTCCCATACATACACAAATGAGGGAACATAAGGCTGTGGGAACATAAGCAAGCTCCTGTGTTTTCTTTCATTCCCACATTTTTAATACACAAATTCTGCTTATTTAGGTTGAGTTCTTCTCTCAAACAGAAAACACTCTGTTCCACCTTGTGATGTCATGTGGTAATACAGGAAGTGCTCGAAGGTGCATTTAAACTCCATACACTTTCAGTAGAATAATTTGGATTATTTCAGACCTGCCATTTCAGAATTGCCAATCTCTACTGAACAAAAGGTAAAATGAGCTGTTAAGTTAGTATCACCTCATGACATGGAATAGAAGATGGAAAAAAACTTTGGAGACGCCAGACTAATAATGCAGGATTACTCAAACATGTATAAATGAAACAAAACACAACGCCGGGTATGTTTTTGATGAGTCTGCAACATTCTAACATGGCTTAAAGCTCACAAGAGTCAATTTAGAGGGTTTAATAATAGAAGAGAGATTGCAGTGATGAAAAAGTGGGACAAAAAGACTGAACCTGGCTCTTAAGATGAATATTTGATTAAAAAATAGCTAGCACTGCAGTATTAAATCATTACTATGCACTTTTCTGTCTGTCTGTGAGGTGTAATGGGCAGTCAGCTTCACACTGTTTATAATGAATGAACTGGGGCTCTGTCTATGACACCTACTATATTTCCATTGGCTTTGACAGCGTGAGGAAAAGATTAGGTTACCGCTTGGTTGTGGTGGATCGTAGCCCCGCACAATACATCATGATTTAATGTTAGACCAGCAGCACCAATCACAATTTGTAATGATTACTTGTACTATGTCAAGGTTTCATATCTATCTATGACAAGGAACAGTTTTAAAGTGATAAAAAGTGGTAGAACAAATATATATTTTCTAGCGACTACATTTACAAGAAGTTGAGACTTAGACTGCTTATCTTGGGTAGACATGGTTTGGTGAAGTTGTAGCTGGTCTCTATTGTGATGTAACTACTTTAAACTACATTCAGTTGTTATTTCATTTTTGTTTTAATTACACATACCAGGGTTCCCACTCTTTTTCACTGACAAAATTTCAAAACTTAATTTTTGTGATGTGATGTTAATTTTTCATGACCTAAAGTGAATTTTCCATGACTTTACAGCATCTACATGTGTAAAACTGATTATACTTTTAGGGCTAAATGTGAAATGTTAACCCTTTCCACTCACCTTATGGTTTGGTTATAGTTTTTTAACATTCAAAATACTGCCGGTGCGTTTATTCTCGTCTCTTTTAAACAAAACTCGCATATGTTCAGAAATAATCATAATATCCTAATGATAACTTAACAGAATGCGAAAGAGATACTAAAATTCCATGACTTTTCCAAAACTTTATTATTTTATTTATTGATTTTGGTCACAGGTATATTCTGACATTATTTCACAGACAGTCATATTTAACATACACTGACTGAAAAGGTGTCCAGTATAGTTTCATTGAATTTAAAAAAATCCATGACTCTTCCAGGCGTAGAAAATGGCATTTTCAATCTCCATGACTTTTCCAGGATTTCCATGACCGTGGGAGCCCTTAAATACATATACATTTATTTGCATTTTTAATTCATTCTGACTAAAAGCACTTTCTGAAATTTGGTCATTTATAATTCAACTTCTGAAAATCGCACTTTCCAAATACACTAGTCCACTGTTCCCCAAAGACTGGATCGTGACCCTCAAGTGGGTCACAAGAGATTTTTTTTTGGGTCGCCTGATCTGCTGCTGCGCTCTCCTCCTGCACCGGACTGGAACACGGTAAAAAAATGCAGACAGACCCACCTATCTCACTAGAAATGTTGAAATGTTAAAACATGATTTGCATAATTTCTATTTTTTTTTTGTAATTATTTTATTGACTATTTTGTTCCAGTGTTGCTGGTTCAATTGAATGTTGAAAAGAAAAAGAAATGGGCAACATTTAATGTCCAAATAGGCGACTTATGGATCCTTTTATTGCTGGTTCAATGACCAGCAATCAATGAGTAATACTAATTGTTCAGAGAGACACGATCACTCAGTTAACAATAAAAAATCGACATTAATGTTCAATAATGGTCAAATCCAACTTTATTTTATGATTTATGAATAATGTCTATTGACTTAGGTCCCAAAGATTTGTGACTTTTAAAATATGGTTCCCTAGAAAAAAAGTTTTGGGAAACACTGCATTAGTAACATGCACACTACTGCAGTACAAATCCTCCCTAAATTCCCAGTTATTCTTTTTTTTTGTATCTAGTGATGGAACAAGAGCTGCTTCAAACTGGGATCCTATTTGTTATTCAGGCTACACCATCAATTCCAGTCGTTGTCCGCTACGTATTGATCCAGTCTATCCGAAAGAGCACTTGGCACTGTATTGTGACGCTCCTCTTTGTAGTGGCAGGTCGCTCCTCTTTGTAGTGGTAGGTCACACAGACACGGGTCACTCTAACTCCAACCTGTCAATACTGTTTGGATTACACTGGCCACTAGATAACTGACCAAAAAAAATCACCTAGAAATGTCACTTTATGTCCGAATGAGCTGCTCTGGGGAAGGGACGACCAAGAGACCAAGAAAGAACAAGTTGATAAAAAGGAAAAAAAAGAAGACAAGAAAAAGATGTGAGTAATTCCTTCAGTCAATTACACTATAGGATGAGGACGGTATCCAGTAATGTATTGATTTCCTCTGCTGAGCAATCTGACCTCTGTAAGTTTGGCTTTAATGATTATATGACACTGAAATTTATGCGCGAAGCCAAGAAAATGCAAGTTTAATGTTACCGTAAATATAGCACTTATTGATGCATTTCTTTGAAGGGCCTAGATTACGCAAAATCGATTCTTGTGAGCTTTAAAGAGGCACTGTGTAACTTTTCTGATGGAGGTCCCGCCATCTCAATGTCATTGATTTGCCTGGACATCATTAAACAATATATCTTGTATTTATTCAGTTACGGGGGGTTTTATTTGTCAAAACTACCGCAAATACATGTATTCTTACTGTGAGCAGGGCCACGTCTCCACAGATCTGAGCTGTAACTTGGCCTGGCAATGTGGCCTGCTTAACTCCATGGAGATACTTAAATGAGTTAGTTAGTTAGTTAAAACCTGCACATACAATTCATACAACAGCATAATAGTACAATACAGACCCCAGAGTTGGAATCAAGTCGTTGTTTTGCAAGTCTCAAGTAAGTCTCAAGTCTTTGACCTCAACTCCAAGTCAAGTCCCAAGTCTAATACAGGCAAGTCCAAGTTGAGTCTCGAGTCACTGGTCCATAAGTCCACGTCAAGTCCAAGTCGTCTGCTTAGAGTTTCAAGTCATTTCAAGTCTTTAAACCAAAATACCAAATATAGCTTATTTTTGCAATTTATATGAATTTTAAACTAAATTGTTCTTATGAAGACATGGTGTATTTTTATATGAGTATTTATATAAGAGTCGTTTCCTTTTGAAATGTCTTGACAAGATCTTAATGTGAATCATCACAGTCAGAATAGAAAGAATTCAAATTTAAAAGTCCTAAATAACAGTTATTTTGTCATGAAGGATCATGTTTTATGTAGTTCATTCTGTTTTACTGTATTGTACTGTATATTACTGTAGTACATTTGAGGTACTATCTCACAGTACTTCAGTTCCATCCAAAGTAACAAACAGAAGTGGGAGTGACATATTCCAGGGACTAGAACATGTCACTTTTTTGCAGGAACAGACTAGAATCTAGCCTGTTCCTGCAAAATTAAGCACCGCATTTATTTTAAAGAGAAAAATATTTTCTAAAAACATATATTTTTAGCAAAAGCATCAAGTCTTCTCAAGTCACAGGGCTCAAGTCCGAGTCAAGTCCCAAGTCACTGACCTTCAAGTCCAAGTTGTGTACCAAGTCTTAGTCCATTTTATCAAGTCAAGTCTCAAGTCATAAAAATAGTAACTCAAGTCTGACTTGAATCCAAATCACGACTTGCAAGTCCCCAACTCTGACAGATGCAGATACAAACATGCAGCTTTGAAAAGGAGATGGATGAATCAAAGCTTATACTATTTCCAGTCCCCTCCCACTCTTCACAGAACAACACTTCAACTACAGACTAGCATGTTATAAATTAATACCGTATTGTAAAACATTCCAGGAAAAATATGGAGTCAAGCAGGTGGCGTACCCTCTACCAGAAAAGTTACACAGTGCACCTGTCACAAAAATTTCACAAAAATGATTTCACAAAAGATTTCACAAAAATGGCCTGGAATGCTAAGGGGTTAAGGCATATTAAAATGTTATCTCCTCAAAAACAGACATGGAGTTGTGTTGTTTCATTCACACATGTTTGAGTAATTCTGCATTATTAGTCTGTCCACATCTCCAAAGCTCAAAATGCTCTGTTCCACCTTGTGATGTCATAAAGCAGTAGTTTTGAACTTGGATACTTTTTACCTTTTGTTTAGTAAAAATAGAAAATTCCAGGGTTGAAATTATCCCACTGATTCTAGTGAAGGTGTATGAAGTTTAAAAACACAGTTCCTCTTGTATTACCATGGGACAGTGTTTTCTGTTTGATAGAAGAACAAAGAACGTATTATAGGTTTTGTGTGTTAAACATGTGTGAATGAAACAAAACACAACTCCAGGTCTGTTTGTGATGAGGAAACAACTTTATAACAGAGCAGAAAGTAGCATAATATGGGCTCTTTAAAGACAGTATGCTTTACAGTATGTGCAGATGTAAAACCCCGTGCCTTGGCTGAGGTCTGAACAATACAATAACTATAACAAACAAACTATGACTCATTTTGAGAGTAAGATTACAGTGTTAAGAGCCATAATTATATTGCTATGCCTGCATTGAAATTCATTTACATAAAACTTCCCATTGAACCTGATGGCATATTTTATACAATAGTAACAGATGTTTCACCATCTGTGCTGTATTGTTAGATTCTCTTTGCAGCAGGGTTAGGATCAGTAAGTATTCATAACTTATGCTACTGCAGAGTAGATTCAGTAGTAATAGTAAATATGATTTGAATATTTATTTAGTTGCTAATTTCAAAATATATGCATCACTATAGCAAAACAATAATTACCATACAGATTAAACAAGCAGCAAAAGAGGGAAATAGCTACTGAATTATACATATAGCAGTGCTGGTTTTTAAAATGATAGATTTTATAATTTGATTCTTTTCTTTCTTTTTCCATTTCTTTTACATGAACCTCAGCATTTCAGTTTTAAAGGTGCAAAGTGTTAGCCTGATTCATCAGCCAGTTTCACTTCATAGAAACTGTCTGACCTCGCAGCATTATGATTCGTTCGCTCAACAGTAGGCGAGTACTTTTTTTATTAAACCTTTTATTAAAGCTATTTGGTTGCTGCTAACGGGGCTAACTGGTATATTAAGCTTTTCCCAAATCCCGTAGGAAGAAGGGCAATAACGTCTTTCCCCTTGATAAAATTCACCATACATTTTCTTTACTCCAGCTTAAATCCTCGATCTCGGGAATCGTTGCCAACACAGAATGTATGGCTCTTTGCTGATTTACTAGTGCTCAGGCTCGAGCTTCTGGGGTTTTTGTCTAGTGTATTCCGATTCCTGACCTAATCACTGGAGAGAAATTAAATTGATCGCAGGGACTAGGTGGGGTCAGCCTGACTAACAAAGTGTAACTCTTCTAGAGCATTGTTTCCCAAACAATGGAATCCAAAGTGATCCGATCTAATTTAGTAACAAGAATGAAATGGTGCAGTGAAGCGATCGGATTAAGTCGCCTATTTGGATCGATTGCTTCTGCCCTGGCATCTTGGATCTTAACTGCAATTTTTTCCACTGCGAATTTTGACTGTTGAATTCGAGGGCTTGAAAATATTTATTCTGAACATTTAAAAGCTGATTTCTTTATACTGAATTTTTTTCAAAAACATACAAATTTACACGCATACAATTTCATTAACTTACATTCAGAAAAAAAATCATTCTAACATGTTAAAAACAGTTAAAAAAAATTCAAAGTGAGAATTTCAGTGGCATTTAAAACTCAAAATCTGATGAAACAAATGATCAATGATTTAAATGTGTTATGTGTTAGTTAGTAGCCCATAGAAATGTAATACCCGTTGTTTAAGTTTAAAGTCGTACTGTGGAACATTCCAAGCAAAGCAATAACGTCTCTATAGAGAAAGAGCAGAAAAGAAAAGTTACATATTGCGTCCTTAAACAGCTTTTACATTATTATTCTTATTTTAATTGGCAGTTCATTTGTTCATATATTACCAGGATGTTTCTAACTTGTGTTGCGTTGCTCTGACTGGATGGTGAACCCGGCGGCTTACGCAACAGGCAGTAACCGTGGCGACGCTCAGGTTGATTGTGCGTTCCCGTTGCAGCATGATGCCAAAGCTGGTGCGCAGACCCACCCGCTCCCTCTACCTGTGCCTGGCCGGTCTGTCCCTGGCGCTGCATCTCTTCCTGGTTTTCTTCTGCGTCACGGTGCTCCAGACGGCCTGCGTACCACCACAATCCTCTTCCTCCTCCTCTGCATCAGTCCAAACAGCAGCCATTCAAAACACAAAGCCCAACAGCAGCACGATTCAAGATAAAGCTACAAACCTGAGCCGGCCGGACAGGAAATTAGAGGAGGATCCGAAGGTCAGAGGTCGCTCCAAGCTGGACGAGTTGTTTAATCACCCGCTGTACAATCTGTCACATCCCGAGCTCCAAGAAGATGATTGGCTGCTGAGGGTGAAGGCAGAGGAAGAGGAAGAGAAAAGTGACAACCTAAATGACAGTAATTTGGAAAGTAATTGGTGAGTATTTGTAAAAGTGTTGATCCCGTGTGCAAACTGCTTGGCTGTTGTGAAGCTTTAATTCACGACAATATCTAACAAGAATAACATCATTTCTGCAGTATTTTGTTTGTCCAATCCACTTTATTTATATATCACTTTTTATTATCATGACCATGTTTCCAAAGTGCTGCACAGACAAATTAATACAATAAAAGACAGAAAATCATAAATTAAAACAATAAATAAAAACTGTAAAAAAAAAAAAGTTACTATTATTATATTATTATTACTATTATAACTACTATTACTACTACTGCAACTACTACTGCCACTACTAATATTACTACTATTACTGCAACTACTACTACTACTACTGATGCAACTACTACTATTAACTACTACTACTACTACTAATACTACTAATACTACTACTACTACTAATGCAACTACTACTACTAACTACTACTACTACTACAACTATTACTAGGACTACTACTACTACTGCAACTTACTACTACTACTACTACTACTACTGATGCAACTACTACTACTACTACTACTACTACTACTACTACTACTACTACTACTACTACTAATGCTACTACTGCCACTACTAATACTACTACTATTCCTGCAACTACTACTACTACTGCAACTACTACTACTACTACTACAGCTATTACTAGGACTACTACTACTACTGCAACTACTACCACTACTAACTACTACTACTACTAATACTACTATCAATATACTACTACTACTACTACTACTACTACTACTACTACTACTAAAGTTAGTACTACTACTAATAATAACTAGAAAAGCACTCAGAGAGCGCAGACCTCCGCCAAGGACTACCCCCATTTTTTATATAAATTGCGATAAAATCAGTCTTCTGGATCAGATCCGGATCAGCCTTTGGAATATGAAAGAGGATCCCATTGTCCATCCCTGAGTCAAATTTCATGGGGTTTGGTCAATAATTAACCGAGATATTGAGAAACAACATTTTTGGCCCCATTTACCACAATGTTAACTAAAATTTCAAAGTGATCCAGAATCCAGGATTTCTTCCGGATCACCCCCAAAATGAAATCAGTTCTTCCTTTTCACATTTCCAACAAATCCTGAAAATTTCATCAAAATCGGTCCATAACTTTTTGAGTTATGTTGCTAACAGACAAACAAACAAACAGACAAACGCCGGCAAAAACATAACCTCCTTGGCGGAGGTAATAACGCTACTTCTACTACTAATGCTACTACTACTACGACTACTAATATTATTAATAATAATAATTCAAATTAAATAAAAGACACAGAGGACGACACAACTCAGCCAGTGTTAAAGGCCAGAGAGTAAAAGTGGGTCTTAAGATGAGACTTAAAACACTCCCTGTGGGGGGGTGTATATATATATTGTATATATTGTGTATATTTAGAGGGTCCATATTATGCTATTTTCAAAAACCCACACACCTTCACTAGAATCATTTGGATGATTTCTCCACTAAACAGTAAAAGGTAGAAGTTAACTTGAAAACTATTCAAGGTGGAGCAGAGCATTTTGAGCTTTGGAGATACAAACAGACTAATAGTAAAAGGTTACTCCAATGTGTGAATGAAACAAAACACAACTCCAGGTTTGTTTTTGATGAGGTTCAGGGTCAGTCTAATTTGCTACTATTAACGTAGTAGCGGGTTTACCTGGGTAAATAGGGACAATTTTAGCATTTAGGACAAATTTAAAGGCACATTATGTAATTTTTCTAGTGCCATCTCTCTATCTCCTTGGATATGTTGTTCCTTTGCTTGGAATGTTCCATAGTATGGCATTAAAATTGCATTTATTCAAATACAAGGGTTTTCATTGCACGTTATTGATAATGGACTCACCTCTGCACAGATCTGATGCATAACCTGGCCTGGTGGTGTTACCTGCATGTCTCTGTGGAAATAGGAATAATACATTTAATGCCATACAGTGGAACATTCAGACAAAGCAAGAAGATTCTGCATAAACACTAACTCTGCTAACTCTCTGTTCAAGCATGTTCTGTTTGATTCTTGTGATTTTTGAAGCAGTTTGTTTGTTTTTATTCTTTCTGTCAGTTCTTCTGGATGTGCTTAAAATGTCAAATTTGAACAAAATCCTGTTACGTGATTCTTTTTTTGTCTCTCATACAAAATCACCAGCATGTTTATTTTAGATTCTCACCATATTCTCATTGACTAACCTGGATTCTAGCCCTCTTGACTGCTACTATGCAAATTCAATAATGAGCTTTCACTTCACCTGTCAGGGAGAGTGCCAGTGTGGAGGAGGGCTACGAGAAGATAAGCTGGACCAAAGATGCCCACACACACCCCCCGTGGCTGCGCTTCCACCTGGGCATCACGCGCTGGCAGCTGTACGACCGCAGGGACCCGGTTCTGGAGCAGCTCTTGCAGTACCTGGCAACGGAGCGTATCCTCGGAGCGGGTGAGAGAAAAGCAATGATGGGATGTTTATGTTTACAGAAATGGTAATACTGAATAATTGTTGTTTTTGTTTGTTTGTTTTTTTACCACAGTGGTGTAATTTCTAAGATTATGAAGTCCAAACATCGCAAAGACAGACATGGCTGAAATAGAGAGTGATACATCTGAATGAATCGATAAAATAGAGTTAGGACCAGAATCAAAACATTTCAAAAGTTCAGAAATTCAGAATAGAGGTTGACTTTATTTTGTTAGGAACTGGATCAACAAAATCACTATATTCACTAGGGGTGTAACAATAACTGAAATATTGTGATATCGTATCGTTAAAAGTCTCACAATAATATCGTGGGCTGTCACAATATATTATATACCAGTTCCTTTGCTTAAATGCATGGTTTTATAGTAGCAACTGCTCATAAACATAGTGAACTACATATCCCATGATTCATTTCAGTGCCAACATGAAGAAATATGTTTTTACTTGAATTCTTAAGATTATGACAGAAACAATTCACACCAAAATCTTGTCAAGGTATTTTAAAAGCAAAAATGTTTCCTATCTACAATTATATCAGCCTCTCCAAAATATCGCATTAAATATCGTACTGTGAGATACATATTGTGATAATATCATACAGAGATTTGGATTAGAGCCCCGTGGGACCTGATGCAAAACAGTGCAGCTCGATACACATTTTAAAAGCTCCTTGCGGGTGCGGGTGGGGAGCAAGCAAATTAAATATTGTGTGTAAAGTAAAATATACAAATGATTAATGTGTATCTATCATACATCATTTGTGCTGGATATTTTATTTGGCATTAATAAAAACATTTTAAGAACCGAATGTGATCTAATCTCGCACACATTTTAGACAATTCCTTTCCGCTTCTCCGTATTTGACAGAGCTTAAGAAAGCGAAAGTTAACATTTTGCGCGATTTGCGGACGGCAGTGGGACAAAATATTGCAGATGCAGGCGGGAGCTGGACTGAAAATTCTGTCCCGCGCTGACCTCTAATTTGGATATCGTTACATCCCTAATATTCACCATCATGTCCCAACCATATACTGACTATCTTAGGCTTCTAATATGGGCAAACCTAATTTCATTTTTGTAGTTGTGGTATTTATATTTTTTGTTTTATTAAAGTGGGACCGAACACCTAAACTCTGCCACAACCACATCGCAAATGGAGCTACTAAACTGGGCAATACCTGGGGGAATGAGGAACAGTGTGATTGGTCTAACAGGTGTCCACACTTCAAACTCCGTCCCTCCTGCCAGGTTTTTGTAATTGGAAAAACCTGTCTGTAATCTGGGCAGAGGTGTGTGATGTCACCAACTACTTGAAATTGCAGAGGCCACTAAAGTCAGCACAAACTCAGACTCAGGTGTTTTTGACCAGAAAGCTGCAAATATATAACCTGGGCACTTTGCCTTTAGCGTCTGCACTATGGACAATTCTGTTCACCTAAACCATGTCCAGCAATATCACAACATGCTCTGGTTTTGTATCCATCGATCCTGGCTTCCTACTGGCTTTTCTTTCTTTCATTATCCAGCCATCACGTATTGACTGCTATCGTACTAACAAACATAAACACAGTTAGAATATAGTATAGTAGAGGTAAACAAACAAAATAACATCAAATTCCACACTTAGCCCGCAATTTGAGAAGAGTTACAGAAATACCATGACGTCTTAACATGCGTTCAGACTGTAGGAATACTGCAGCTGTCAGAATCATCTGTCAGACGCCGCTGAATAACACATGGGAGTTTTGTATATTCTTAGGCTGATTAAAGACTAAGATCTGCTACATTCATACATTCTACGTTCATTACTGTATCACCTCTTTTTTTCGAACACTTAGCGCACAGAATTCAGTACAACTTGACTTTAATCTGCATTCTAAAGAGGCATTATAAATAAATATGAGAGACATTAGGCTTTGATTAATATCTGTGGATTTGGCTTTTGAATTATTTACCAGGCACACAGCTACAGGATCAGCATGCAGCGTGCACACACAGTCCTCAGGCTCTGGAAAGGATTCAAGTTAAACACTACCACTCCATTCATTCACCCACAGCACTGGGCAGGGTTACTTACAAAAAAATGAAAGGGCACATATTACGCTGTTTTCTGATCTATGTTCTAATGTTGTTTCCTCATCAAAAACAGACCTGGAGGTTTTGTTTTTTTTTGTTTTTTTTTATTCACTCGTTTAACTCACAAATCCTGCATATTTAGGCTGAGTTCCTCTTTGCCAACTTGTCATGTGGTAATACAGAAAGTGCTCCACTGTGTAAACTCCATACACATGCACAAGGATTATTTGGATGATTTTAGCCCTGGAATTGCCAATCTCAACTGAACTAAAAGTAAAAGATATAGGGGTGTGTAAAAATACCAAAATATCAATATATCAGTCAATCAAACTTTATTTATAGAGCGCTTTTCATACCAAAAAATGCAACACAAAGCCTTTTACAGAGCCCCACAAAGCTAAACTAAACAGTTGGGTCTTGAGGTTTCTATCTGTGACTTTTTTTTTTATTTTTTTTTACAACTATCTGAAATCTAGAAACTTAACTTAACTTACTAACTGTCTGGAATCTGGGACACTACCGGTAACTATCTGAAACCAATACATAAAGAAAAAAAGAAACCCCCCTGCAACATCAGCACATACAACAAAAACACAGTAGAGACAATAACGACAAGACTAGCAACTGGGGAAGGAGACGGAATTGGAGTCGACCCCAAAATATAGACACGCAGCCTCTAACTCCTGCAGCCAGGGGGCGCTGGATACAACAGACTCACCTGCCAATTCTGGGTGGGGCAAAAGCTGCATATATATCGCATAGTTTAATGTGATGACAACATTATCCGCTTATAGTTTGTTAAATATGCCAAGCCTCATAAACAATACATTATTATATTTGTTTAAGTTGGATTCATCTAACAGGGTGACACAAATTTGAAAGAACAGAGAAATATAAGTCAACTAGTCATGAAAATGGAACACACAAGGAAAAAAAAAAACACATTCAAATTATAATAGCAAACTGAACTATATCAAATATTAAATCACAAAGGCAGTTATTGAAATAAACCGTAAAATGTCCAGGTTTTGAAATGTTTGTGATTCTTCTATTGATAATATGTTTGTAATTTCTTCTTCTGCTGCAATGTGAATATTCTTGTACATATTTAAAAACCTAATTTATAAATTTAAGATCCTAATTTCTAATTGTAAAGTACAGATCCTAACACAAATGCTAAGCTTTTCTCAAAACTTGTGTGAGTACTGTCTAAAAATATCTGGATGACAATTTTTTCTCCAAATTTGTTCAAACCTGCAGTAAATAAGTGTAACAAATATTGGATGGAAAAAGCATTTACCCCAGAACTACAAGGCTAAAGTGGATATTACTACTATTTACACGAACCAAAATCAACAAAATACAACGAAACTCTTCAAATTCTCATTTCAGTTCAGAAATCAGGAGGCACGCAGCTAAAGTTGGTGATTTCATTCCCCAACTATGGACAGGCTCTGCTCAAACCCATGAAGTAAGTACTGTAAATCTTGAGTACGGACACATTTGTACTGTTGTAGCCAGCTTGAAATGTGTTTATGTATTTGTATGAATACTTACAGACAGTCCAGAGATGCAGAGACGGACCTCAACCTGTTCTACTTCTCCGACTTTGAGAGACACAACGCAGAGATCGCCGCTTTTCACCTGGACAGGTACAGAGACACAGGTGGAAACTGATTCGACAAATTAGTTCAGCATTTTTATAGTTTTGGTTGCTAAAAAGTCTCATTGTATTAAAAATGCTGAGGAGGAAATTAGTAAATGAAAAACTTTAAAGTGGAGGGTCTATCAAACACTTTTCTCCATGGAGATGTTATTTCTTTATCTGGAATGTTCCACAGTATGGTATTAAACTTTCCTATCTTCATGCAGACCAAACCAGACCAAGTTACAGGTCAGATCTTTGGAGAGGCAACCTCGCTCACAGTCAGAATGCCTGTTTTTCTAGGTATTTTGAGCTATGAATCCACCTGTAATTGAATAAAGGTAAAGTAGAGCTGTTTAATGCCATACTGTGGAACATTCCAGGCAGAGCAATGACGTATCCATGGAAACAAGCAGATGTCAGACCTCCAAACAAAAAGCTACTCAAAGTAGTATCTTGATTGACTCATGCATGGTTGAGTAATCCTGGATTGTTGTGCATTTGAGTGCTCAGAAAATGTCAGTTTTCACCTACCCCCTATCCCAGCCCCCTTCTTTGTACTCGTGTTTATTTAAAACATTAAAAAAAATAAAAATCTGGTCATACATTTAGAGTTAAAAAAATGTCACAGGCATTTTTCAACAATAAAAACAAGTTTAAAGAAGTTAAATACACTGCTTGCCATGATAAAACACCACTGTAAAGAGGTGGGGTCCTTTCTGATGCTGAGAATGTTGAAGACCTTTAACATAATCAACAAGCACAATCAGAGACAGCAACCTGGTCCCCCATGAAGCATCAGTGGGGGAAGTTCATCACCACAGAAGCATCTTATGAGGAGCCCAGCCCATTTTACATGATCATTATATCCACAGTGCAATGTGTGTATCTGTACAGCGCCCATGAACATTTGTGTGATATCGGTCACACATGATAATGTCTGTGTTTACTAGCGTGTAACGAAAATGTAATTTTTCATGAGTTCTGTATATGTTAGTTCTGTTACTAATACTAATGTTATTTCTGTGACTGTAGATCAGTGTGTTGTGTATCACGAGAAAAAGAAGAAATAGAAATTATTTTCATTCCAATTAGAATTTTAAAGGCATACACTGAAAAAGAAAGAAAATGTTATAATTAGTGATTATCTGGAAAACTATTAATATTTTACTATACAAATGCATAGAATTATAAATAGATAATAATTTCTTCTGAGATTTTGAGACCACTCCTGTTGCTCTAGCTCGATCCTTCGCAGAGTTATGACCAAAAATGCATATTTGACCTTGGCTACCTTGACCTTCAAGTGACCTTGACCGGTTTCAACCTGTAACATCCAGTGTACCCCGGTCATGTGTGTGCCAACTTGTGTGATGATTGAGTGAATATTTTAGGCTGCAGATGGATCAGAAATTGCTGAAATTGCCGATCGTTTAATAATGGCGTGACCATTCAATTGACCCGTGTGACTTCAAATGACCTTGGATCATCACCAAACCTTTTTCTTGACACTGGGCACAGGGGCTTGAACCGGGTACCAAATTTGGTGACAATCAGTCCATAAATGCCGGAATTATGGGAGTAGACAGACACACTGGGTGAATACAAAACCTGGTCAACCCTACTGGGACCAGGTAATCAAACTTTATTTATAGAGCACTTTTCATACAAAAAATGCAACACAAAGCACTTAAACATAATGTAGAACAGTTTTGATAGCTGATCTAACTTTCAATAATGCTTCTTCTACAATGAACATGTGTGTGTGAGCAAGAAAAAGTTGAATTCCCTTTGATCAAAAATCTGTCCCTTGTCTTGACTTTCAGAGTACTCGGCTTCAACCGGATCCCCCCAGTGGTCGGGAGGCTCATTAATGTTACCACAGAAATCCGAGAGATCACCACTGACCGCAAGCTGTCTCGGACCTTCTTCAAGTCTCCTGGTCTGACCCGACAGGATCTTAATTGCTGCTGTTCATTAGCTTTTACTTACAGCGTGTTACTCTGGCTCCCTCTAGTGGGTAACGTGTGCTTCTACGGCCAGTGCGAGTACTACTGTTCCACGGAGCACCCGGTCTGCGGTCGTCCCCACGCTCTGGAGGTGTCCCTGGCCGCATTTTTGCCCGATCTCGACCTGGCCCCCCGCAGGTCCTGGAGGTCGCCGTGGAGACGCTCCTACAGTCGCACCAAGCTGGCACAGTGAGTACAGTCGACTGGGGTGTGATGCTAACTGTAGGCACTGCTCTGTCTGAAGCTCTGTTACTCAAGTTAGACTTTAATCTGAGCTTTGTTTTGACACAATCTGACCATACAGAGCAGATTTGACTGGAACTACAGCACATGAGCTGATTTGCATATTGATCACAGGCTCCCGAAAATGTGCAGTTTAAATCCATTTTGTAAATTTTCTTGAATTTTCAGATGATCATAAAACTTTATTGACGGTGTTTGCTAAAGTGCACATTGTGCCACCATGGCAACTTCCACCTTAAAATACATGTAGGGGACCCCCAACATGATGTTAATATAATTTATTGCTACTTCTCATTATATAACAATTCTAATATAGACTAAAGCCCACTCAAAAACTATTACAGAAAGGTCCAATTTATGTCTTTTTTCCAGTTTTCCTGCTTAAATGAATAACTAGTGTTGGTACTAGTTTTAGCATAATATACCTTTGTATTTTTAAAATTTCCATCCATCCATTTTCTTCCGGGATCGGGTCAGGGAGGTAGCTGTCTAAGCGGGGACTCCCATACGTCCTTTACCCTGGACACTTCCTCCAGCTCTTCCGGGGAACCCCAAGGTGTTCCCAGGCCAGCAGAGAGACATAGTCCCTCCAGCGTGTCCTGGGTTTTCCCTGGGGCCTCCTTCCATTGGAACATATCCAGAACACCTCTGGAGAAAGGTGCTCATGTGGCATCCGGAACAGATGCCCAAGCCACCTCAGATGGCTCCTCTCGACGTGGAGGAGCAGCTGCTCTACTCCGAGCTCCTTCCGTGTGACTGAGCTTCTCACCCTGTCTCTAAGGGAGCACCCAGCCACCCTGCGAAGGAAACTCATTTTGACCTCTTTTTATCCGCGATCTCGTCCTTTTGGCCGTTACTCAAAGCTCATTACCATTGGTGAGGTTAGGAACATAAACTGACCGGTAAATCGAGAGCTTTTCTTTGTAAAATAAGCTACTCTAAAACTCCTCTAACATTACAATTGCTGTTTGAAACCCCCAATACAATAAAATAACAAGCAAAAAAAAATTAACATTCATATTCACATTTGATGTAGCTATGTTGAGTCATGAGAGGAAACCAGTCACATGTTACAAAAGTATGTTCGATTTTAAGACATGTCCTCTTTTATTCATGAGTGTGCAGCGCTCTCTACTGGCTATGTCTAGGAACTGCAAACCGCCCATTAAAGCGCATATGACTGGTTTTCATGTTTTTCTAATTATGACTTGATTTGGTGGGGTAGTACCTGTGGTTAATAGTTATCATAGGTTTACATCAGACAGTTTGTGGGAAAAAAGCTGAGAAGAAAAGTACAAAAATACATGAAGTAGCATTGAGTTCTAAAGGGGAATACCTCTACCTTTGCCATTAACACTGAAAATGCATCTAAAATACAGGGATTGGTTTTTTTTTGAGAGATTTAACATTGATTTAACAAAATAAATGCTATAATCTATTTGTATTAGTCTAAACATAACTATTGCGTAATTAGGTCCTTGTTAATATTGGTTGCTATGTAACAGTTATGAAATTACCTCTACATATGTCTGCTGCCTGTGTCCAACCAGAAAGTGAAACAATAATCTTTACCAAAAAATAAAAAATAAAAAATAGACAAACGTGGTAAAAATACAATGACATTAACTGTTTAAGTGAAAAAGTACTCTAACCTGTCATATGCAATTTAAAGGTTCACTATGTAACTTTTCAGTTGGGGTTCATCACCTTCTAGGTTCTATGGAAATGTCATTGCTCTGCTTTGAATGTTCCGCAATGTGACATTAAACAAATCTGCATTAGATCTATTCAACTACAAGTGGATTTGTAGCTCCTAGAAAACATTGATTCTGACTGTGAGCAGGGTCGCCTCTCCACAGATCTGACCTGTAACTTAGCCTGGATTTGTCTCCATGAAGATGAAAGGTTTAATGCCATACTGTGAAAATTTCAGAGCAATAACATCTCCATGGAGAAAAGTAGGTGGCGGATCTTCCACTAGAAATGTTACGCAGTGCACATTTATTATTATTATCTTGTTATTCAATATCAGGGGCCATCAAACTAAGGCCCGTGGGCTGACTCCGGCCCACCACGCCCCTTTGACCGGCCCCCTAGCCCTTGAATTGGCCCTATAAAGCAATCCACAAAAGTTGTCATGGCCTATTTTTTTAAATTACTTTTTGGCAAATAATAACATGCCTGCATCTTGTATTTTGTTGATTTTTTTCTATTAAAAAAATTATATTTATATGAAGTATTTATATTTACATTTAAATAGTTGTATGACGTATTTACATTTGCAGCAGAATTTTCATCACCTGACAAGCTGAAGATCAAACAGTGACAGTAAATGCACACGCAGAGTTCTGAAGTGCAGTTAAGGACAGCAAAATCACTCGTGTTAAAGTATGAAAAGTTGACAGAGAGTGCTGAGTTTTCACAGAACAGTTTTTTTGTTCAGTGTAAGGACCGTGCAGTTTGTCTAATATGTAAAGAAAATGTAGAGGTTTTCAAAGACTATTCAGTATTCAGTATTTACACTTTACTTTATTACTTTATTATTGTCTTTAAAAAGAACCCAAGAAGTTTTCAAAGTATATAATCTCAGGGTCATACAATTCTGTTATACGGCCAACCCGACCCCGGCCCGATCATAGTCAGGAGCGATAATGCGGCCCCCAGAGAAAAAAGTTTGGTGACCCCTGTTCTATTTTGTCTCATATCTGGATTAAAACAGTGTTGATTGTTCAGTTCTGTCCTGATAAACTCTAGTCTAATGATAATATTATTAAAGGAGTTCCTCCATGTCGTCAGGTGGGAGAAGGACCCAGACTACTGCGACACAGTGAAGAAGACTCCTCCATATGACCAGGGCACTAGACTGGTGGATGTCATCGATATGGCTATACTGGACTTTCTCATGAGTACGAAAACTCCTTACTACTACTACTACTACTCACTAATACTCTTCACTAATACCAGTACATATGTCAGTGCTGGGAAGCATACCATATTTTCCGCACTATAGGGCACTCTGGATTATAAGACGCACTGTCATTGAATGGTCTATTTTTGAACTTTTTTCACATATAAACCGCACAGGACTATAAAGCGCATTAAACAAAACACAACAGTTAGATAAGTCAGTCAAACTTTATTTAATGCGTTCTCAATAACTCTCAACCTTTGTTCAATTGTAACGAGTAAAAAAAATACTGTGAGACGCTAAATTGTTAGAGTATTCACAATAACTCATAATTGTTCAAACAGTCGGGCGATTACGGCGTCCAGCACACCCGCATCAATGTCGTCATTATCCGAGTCAGTGTCGTTACTGTTCCCTGGCAGTTCAGCGATGATTCAGGTCTTGGTGAAAGCTCGGACCACAGTTGGTACTGATCCTTAGCCCAGGCGTCCACGATCCATTGGCAGTCGCTCGGCGCCGTCTCCCTGTCTTGGTGAATGTGTGTTCGCCTTCTCTCATCCACTGCTCCCACGCTGCTCACACATTAACTTTATAGTAGCCTTGAGTTTAAAGTCGGCGTTGTAAGCGTGTCTCTTGACAGGTGCATTTTGATATTAAAAGGAATCACAGTATGCTCCTGACTACGGTAGCCGTAATGCTGCAAGTGGTGCGGTTTGTAGTTTACTAAAGTCGTACTAAGACACCCCAATAAATTCATATATAAGGCGCTCTGGATTATAAGGCGCACAGTCATTTTTTGATTCAATTAAAAGCTTTTAAGTGTGCCCCATAGTGCGGAAAATACGTTACTTTGAAAATGTATTTAGTTCCACTATTCTGAATACTGGTATGTAGAAAGCATTTTGCAATATATTCTGTTACATGGTCCAGTCAGAGTACTGTATTCTGAATACTTCAATATATTGCAACTCAGTGTGAAGGTATTCATAGTTATTTCATTGTTTATTATGCATTTATATATGACTAATTAGAGAACACCAGATGAAAAAGTAACTGCTAGGAGTGTAACGATATCCAAGTCTCACGATACGATATCGTCACGGTATGAACCTCACCGTACAATATTTACTGTGATATTTTGTGGAGTCTAACAAAACTGTATGCTACTTTTTCCTCTTAAAATGCCTTGATAAAACTTAATCCAAAGAACTAAGCCCTAAAAGTGCTTAGAAATGTTATTTCTTCATGTAGTCTGCACTGAAATGGAGCAAAGGATCATGGTCTATGTAGTTCCCTCTGTATTTTTTAACTACTGCTGCACCATAACTCTTAATTTAAGAAAAGAGACTTGTAATTTGATATATTTTTGATGGTCCAAGATATTATTGTGAGAACTTTGACTATACGATATAACAATATTTCGTTATTGTTACATCCCTAGTAACTGCACCAAAATACATTTACTCAGAATTAGTATTTTTTGGTGTATGTATTTAATTACTTCCACACTGACTACTACAACTATTACTTCTACTTTTTCCCTGTAGGTAACATGGATAGACATCACTATGAGACGTTTGAAAAATTTGGGAACAAAACATTTCTGCTGCATCTGGACAATGGGCGAGCGTGAGTTAGGGGATCCTGTTTTTATTAAAGGATCATACGGCGAGTGCACTGTGTACTTATTTAACTGGCACCTGTGTTTCGTAGGTTCGGTCGCCACTCCGTAGATGAGCCGTCAATCCTCACTCCTCTGAAACAGTGCTGCAGGTGCGTACTCTAGACCTATGAGCAAAGAACACAAATGTAAAAAAGAAAAAATCTTGAACCATAGCTGCGTGTTTTCCGTGTGAATGCAGGAGTGTCAGGATTTAGAGGGTAACCAAAAGTATGTAAATGCGTGAGAGTATGAACTGCAATTTGGTTACACAAATGAAAGTGAAACAAAAAGCACGTTTGTTTGTTTATGGTCATGTAAAGTGAAAGACACTTTTTAAAAGTTTTAACGTTCACCTTTTTTTCTGCTTTATCATTAATGATTGTGCATAAGAAATCCATAATAATGAAAAACGCTAAGACCAATGTTTTATTTGTTTTTTCATTTTCGTTTATGGTTGCACAATATAATAACAAAGAAGGTAAAAAATGTTTTCCTTTTATTTAGTTTATTGTTGTTTTTATAGTTAAAAAATGAGAAAGAAAAGCACGTAAGGTGTATTATTTTGTTTTTGTGTATGGTTGTACAAAATATAAAATAATGGAGTTCAATAGTGAATCTTGTGGTTTAAATCTGCTTTTTGGACTTAAAACTAATTGTAGATATTATTTACCACATAGCTGATATGGCTTTGAACTCTTGATATTAGAATTTACGAACAGTCTATGGGAAAAATTAATTGAAAATTTATTTCCTAAACGGTCACTGTTGAGCTCCAGGACAAAGAAAACACGAAAGATTTTATTTTCTTTTATTTTGTTTATGGTTGTACAAAAGATTCTGAAAATAATTATTATTACAGAAGGATGATTTAATTTTTGTTCATAGTCATACAAAAAATGAAAATAAAGTGAAAGGAATTACTTAAGATTGACTTGAGAAGACTGATTGAGTAGACTGGTCCATAAATCTACCCTCCTCTGATATGTGCATGCTTCTGACAGTAGTTTGGGAGATTTTTGCCTTAATGTGACCTCTCAGGTTGTACTTTTCTTCTGTTGTGCAAAATATTTTTGAATAAAATTTGACATGTTTTTTATATGTTTTGAATAGTACTCGTACTAATCAATCAAAAACGTCAGGACACGGTTCTGAAAGCTGTTCAGAAAACATTGTCAAAATTGTCTTTTCAAGTTATTCCTCTCACGTTATTTTAGTATTTTTTTGTACGACTCTAAACAAAAGACAAAATCATTCTTCTGTCCACTTTTTATTTTCTGTATCTTTTGTATAACCATATATGAAAAAAAAACATGTGTGCCTTCTTTGTATTATTAATACTATTATTATTTTGTATGAACATAAACAAAAACAAAAAGTATGAAAATATGACTACGTGAGCTATTCTTATTGTTTTGGGGTTTCTTTTGTAAATTGAACACTATATCTCAGTTACTTCTATGCAGTAGTTTAAATGGGGTAAAATACAGAGTACAGTAGTTTGTATACAGCAAGGGTCTCTAACCTTTTTCCTCCGGTGAGCTACTTTTACCAAACAAAAATGCCAGAAAGCTACCCTTTTATGTTTACAAGAAATGTAGTACATAAAAGAGCCATGGCAAGTTTTAGATGGGGTACAGTTAGACACCTAAAAACCATAAACCATTATCTATTTATTAGTATACAAATTTAGGCATCAAAATTATACATTTACAATTGGAATTAATACAATTTGAGTTGTTCAGCAGAGTACATATAATTCAGAAATCCCTGAATCACTGAAGGGGGTGGAGAGCTCCTGGTAGCTCCTGAGCTCCAGGTTGGAGACCTCTGGTTTACAGAGATTTCTTATCCAGATTATTCACAAAAGCTAGCAATTTTATAATTTTAAGTTTGATTTGATAAACGTGGGGTTTCCGGCAAAGCTTGTGATCAAGAGTGAAACAGTGAGAGTCATTGGTTACTTTTTGGTCTTTTTGTTAACTTTTCAGTCACCAAATAATATACCAAATTAATGATTCAAAATGGACCCTCACTTGTATTTTAAAATGCCACATTCATGGCAACATTTCAAACACAGACTTCAATGTCAAAATCCAGACTTGTCAGTTGTAAATTCCACAGCATTTCTCCAAGCTAACTCACCTGGATCAAAAACGTAACCATATGTCAAGTACCCAGGTCTCATTTATTATACTGTGACCTAATATTACCTTTTCTATAACCACACCACATTCCTCTCCAGGATCCGGCGCTCCACCCTTCTGCGCCTGCATCTCTTGTCCCTTCCCAGCTTCCGTCTGTCAGATGTGCTGCGTGAGTCTCTGTCCCAGGACCCTTTGTCGGTTGTGGCCCCTCTGCTCTCAGAAGCCCACCTGTCTGCGCTGGACCGCCGCCTGGACACGGTTCTGAAAGCTGTTCACCAATGTCTGGACAAACACACAGATGTTGTTTATAATGACATGGAAGATACGGGTCAGAGCAGTGACTGGAAAACACTGTGATAATAAAGGACAATCCCCACCCCGACCACACACACAAAATCATTTTTAGTGACAGTTTAGCTTTACTTACGTTGGATTTAAAACCTGACTTTCCTATGTGTACACCTTGTAGATCAGACAACAGGGGCCAAAACTAAAGAACCTCAGCTTGACAGAGACTGTGATCTGCTTTTGAAAATAATTTTCAAGAATTAAAGAAGTCTTTTGGATGAATTGTGAAATTACTTCCTCTGTGGTCTAGATTAAATGTGAACCGTGAGTTCATCCCTGTGACTATATGCTTTTCTGGCATCATCACATTGCGATTCATTTTCTTTTGAATGCAGGTCTATGCTCAAACAAAGACACTTTTATTGGCCTTTATTTAACCAGGATAGCCCCACTGACATTAAGAATCTCCCCACTTCTCCTACAATGCCCTGAGTGACATCAAAAGTTTACTAATTGCAATGAACTTTCAGAAGAAGTGGGTGACATTAATTACCTCTTCAAGTCAATATAAATTTAATGCACTTACATGAATCATGACAAAATTGAAATCTGACTCCAAGAAAATCATGGTATAAGTTTTTTTGGCCCACCCCTGATTGTGGAGGTTTACACTGGCAACATGCTTCTTGAGACATGTGGGAGGGACAACTGGACCCAAATATACTCAAATATACTCAAATAAACTCAGTGGGTAATTCAGTGGGTAAAATGTGCACTCCCTGAACCAAAGGTTGGCAGTTAAAAACCTACTTTTATAAATAATTTGCTCACACATAAAAAACTAACAAACATATATTACATGAACCAGACAGAGTAGGGTGTGTCTTATAAACTAGATTAGATGTGATTATGAGTGCCGTGGCAGGATAGTGCTGTCTTTTCTGCGGTTTGAGAGTTATGCGTAGACAAACAAACAAGCAGACAGACATTCCTTGAATTAATAGAGAGATGTATACAACAGGTCATTAGTCCCTCAGTTGCCTGCAGCTGTAGCTTATAGATAACCTTTTGTTTGTACATTGTAGAGTCTTTACCACGCAAATCAAAGTGCCTTCTAAAGTGCATTGGCCAACCTTTTTCTTTGTCTTTGTCTTTTTCTTTGTCTTTGTCCTATACAGTAGTCATGTGACTTTGTCACATATTTGCAGTACAATTGTATTTAATGACACCTGCGTGTCCTGTTCCACCCGTATGCCCTGACGAAGAAGGTCTTGTTGGTCAAAACATGTTGTCGTCCCTTCATGTAATAAAGGACTTTTAACATATTCAGTTGATGTGCCTCAGGTTTGTTCCTTGCCCATTCAGTTTCTAGCCTCTTACAACCTTTGAATAGCATTTCCAAAGAACAAACCTCTGATTGGAATGATGGCACCAGTAGTGCTTTAAACATGTAATCTTTTATTTTACCATATATTTTCTGTTGTAACTTCAAGCTACAACATAAGAGACAGACATTTGGTCAACTTTGCCACCATTGTGGAAGGGGCTCAGCAGTACCATAGTTCCCCATTGCTCACAGTACACACAGTACGTAGGGCACCAAGTGCTTGCGGGGACACCATGTGAATCCTCGCGGGCACGGAATAGCCCCCCCTTCGGGTCCTCAATAGGTGACACCAAAGCACCTGTGTGTAGGGCACCTGGATGGCAAGCTATGGCTCTGGGGCTCAGTATTCATGCTCTTGGCTGCACATTTTGCTTTGTCATTGAATTCAGTTAAGATAGTGTGCTTGTCCCATATACAACATATTCTGCCTTAGACATTCAGAGTCTCCTGCCTCTTTCAATCCTTGATATGCCTGCACTGCACTCATATCTGTGTGTGTTCATAATAATAATGGAATTTTATTCTATATTGCTTGTTATATTTGAAAGCAAATCCCAAAGTACTACAGTTGGTTAAAATCACACACAGCAAAGCAAACATGTTATGCAAAAAGCAGCCTGCATCTAACAGCCTGCACACATGTGACCTTTCTCCTCCTCTTTTCACTTCACAGTCAACAAGTTCTTTATCAACGAGGAAGACAGTTGAACTACAGGAGGTACAGTTGTACAAGCTTCTGTAGCCTGATCAAGAATGGCTAATCCTGTAGAGTTTATAGAAAGGAAAATCCTCTTGAGTTTTTTTTAGAAAACCACAGAACAAAGCTGTCATGTATGAAGAACCCAGAGACATTTGTGAGGCAGCTCCGGGACAAACGTCTGATAACAGAGGACATCTACAAGGTAAAAGGTTTTGTTTCAAATTTGCTTCAAACTGAGTTCAACACATTCTTGGTGAATCAAATATATTTTAACATTTGTATTTGTTTGTGAAGAAAATTGTAAGAGCAAAAGACCCTGAGCCAGAGTTGTATAAAGCCCTGGAATGGATCCAAACCACCAAGAAGCTATTCATCTACCGCTTCTGGAGCTGTGTGTTTGAAAAGCACATCATAGACAAGTATCCCACAGTCCGAGAGCTGCAGACTAAACTGTATAAAAGTGAGTCAGTTTGTCCCCTCAGCACCATTATCACAGTACTCATGTTCTTATTTCTTTATCATATATTTAGAGGCAGGTCACAATGTGAACTCACAGCTGGGAGGACAAAATGTGGTCAGGCCGGTGGTAGAGGTACCTGATGACCAGCCTGGTTCATCCTCGGACATCACGCAGCCAAATGAACAAGCGCGCAGCTCCTGTAACATAAAAAACACATTTCTTATTCAGTGAAATTATCTCTGCGCATCATCTGAACTGTGTCAAATATTCCAGTGTCAGTGCCGAGAACAGACCAGAACTTGTGTCTTGTGACATGTGGAGAAGTGCAAGGACAAATGGACGCCAATAAACTTAAAAATGGTAAGAGACCAAAACTCTATAGTTGCTATTTTCCCCATTATGATACATCAAATGCATCATTTATAACAGTGCTGTAACAGTTTAGGACTACACAATACTATACTTGTATACTACACTTCTGCTCAATTTGCTCAAACAAAAACAAATACCTATATAGACCATGCAGACCAGGGTGTAACTTACAGAACATATTGGATGTAATTATGGGTGCCCAGACAGGATTGTGCAGTCTTCCTCAAGCTGATTACTCATTTATCTTTAATTTGCATCATTAGAGAGTCTTATTCAGACAAATCAAAGTGCATTCTGTTAGGCGATGTGTGGTTCTCTCCCATTGAATTTGTGGTGTGGGAGGAAAGGAAACATGTAAAAACTGGAAAACAAGCATCCATGATACCATAATATATGTGATTGTAATTTTTATATGTGAGCAAATTAATAATAGAAATAGGTTTCCAACTGCCAACCTTTGGTTCGGGGGTGCACATTTTACCCACTAAATTACTCACTGAGGTTGAGTTTATCTGAGTTTATCTGAGTTTATTTGAGTTAATTTGAGTTTATTTGAGCTTATTTGGGTCCAGGTATCCTTCCTGGTCTCCACCTGTCACAAGAAGCATGTTGCTCTCATTCCTTTGTGTTGGCACTTATTGGCTTTATGAGTATGAGATACTTCTTCATGATGTTCTCCTTAAACAGACACTTCCAGAAGCAGATAATGTCTCTCCTCTTGTTTTTTGGACCCAATCCAGGGCATTATACAATGCATTCTGAAAGTCCATTGTACTTTTTTATATTCTTACAAATAAGAACAGAAATTGTTTGATTTATTGGATGTAATTACAGGTGCCCAGGCAGGATAGTGCAGTCTTCCTCAAACTGATTACTCATTTACCTTTTATTTGCATCACTGCAGAGTCTTATTCAGGCAAATCAAAGTGCATTCTGTATGGTGGTATGTGGCTCTCTTCCATTGAGTTTAAACGTGTGGGAGGAAAGGAAACATACAAAAACTGGAAAAGAAGCATCCGTTATAAGAATGAACCACTGTCTAGGTATACTGTAAAGGTATGTTTGAACATACAAGAGCAAAGGTCTTAAAATACTTCTAATAACGTATAATAGTAACGAGTATCCTGTTTTTTTTATCCTGTTTTTTGTTTTTGTTTTTTTCTTATAGAATGGGCGTCTGTACAAGAAGCCAAAAAGAAGAAAAAGAAGGACTTTGTGACACTTTGAAGATGACAAATTTTGTTGTTATTAGGCAAGTGGTGTACTGGTTGATGTGAGAAATTAAAATAATAAACGTGTTTGAGTAAAAAAGCTTTCTTCTGAATACTCAGTAGTCCAGAAATTCACCTGTGCTGTGGTTTAATAGGACTTTTTAGCCTTTCAAATGCAGTTGTGGTAGTTTCTACTCACCTCAAAAATGACAGCACAGACAATTTAATGGCAAATTATTATCAGTTGGAGTCTACAAAAACAATAGCAGCAATTATTTTTGCATTAACAATAACACACGCGGATGACATTCCTGAGTTTGGTTTCAAATAAACAAATCTATTTTAACACTAATTATTAATAGCCCAGTTATATTAAACTATGGTTAATATAAGTCTAGTATTGTATTTGATGTAGACTATTTACAAAATAAATGTCCTATTTCTATTAAATTTGTTTACATATTATAATAAGTTCCATTTTAGTCCGATTTTTCAGTGCTGAAACAAGTTGGTTAGTTTTCAGTCATGTATAACAATGTAGGCTATAATGTCTAGAGTGAATAAGTTATAATTAGGCCAGATGATTTGGAATAAACAATTTTGCAGATTTTTGAGTAGAAAGCCACAAATTTGTTACCCATTATCACAGTGCCCTCTGCTGATCACAAATTTCTCCACAGCAAAATGTTAACTTTCTTTTTTCACATCACAGGACACTGGGCACAGATGAAGATAGACTGTAAACTGGTCCTGATTCTTAAAAAAATCATTCTTTATAAATATGTTTTTCTTGCTTTGATTTTGGAAATTGCAACCCCGTTATAAGCAGTGTGAGTCTCTGCTCTGGAACTGATTGCTTTCTGTCCTGTGGTGGCTGCTGCTCTCAGAAACTCATTGGTCCTGTTCACCAATGTCTGGACAAACACACAGATGTAGTTTATAATGACACGGAAGGCACGGGTCAGAGCAGTGACTGGCAGCACTCTAAGTATCATAAATTATTTGTTGGTATATTATTAACAAAGTACTGGCAAAGTAGAGGGTCATCCAGCATTAGTCTTCTTCTGTAGACTTGAGATTGGAAACTAAACACTTAACCTACTGTATACGTTTGTGGTTTTAAATGTCATTAAAATTGTTCTCTTCTTTTCCAAATATAATCTTCTGTACAGCATATAAAAATGGAAATATGGAAATTTTTGCAAGCAACAGGGAAATGACTCAACAATCTTTGGTGGACTAAATCCTATTTGCTCATTGTGCCTTTATGAAGGGAGAATCATTGCATTAGGAGAAATTCAGGGAGGTGGAGGGTGGCAGCTCCAGGAAATCTCTATGTTAATTATATTTAACAAGCAAAGACAATTTCCATTTTTATCTGTAAGAATATAAAAAGTACAAAGGAAACATCATCTGCTTCTGGACGCATCTGTTTAAGGAGCCCATCAATGAACAAGTATCTCATACTCATGAAGCCACAGAAGGAAGTGCTTACAGGTCAAACATGAATTTGTCCCTGTTTTTCCAGTACTTATACATAGACCTTCATATGTGATATTTATATATTTAGAAGAAGGTCTCAATGTGAACTCAAGGCTGGGAGGACCAAATGTGGACAGGTCGGTGGTAGGAGATATCTGAAGAGCAGCCTGGATCCTCCTCTGACATCACTCAGCCAAATAGACAATGGCCCAGCTCCTGTAACATAAACTTTTCTCATTCAACATTCTTATATCTGAGCACCATGTAATTATGTCACATGTTTGCTTGATTTGCTAAGCTGCAGATCAAAACAGGATAAAATGTAACCTGTGGAATGTGACAAGAAAGGAGTCCTGCGCGAAAATAAATACAGAAATGGTGGCAGACCAAAACGCACAGTCTTCAAAGATTAAAAACATGTGTTTTGTTCTTGTAGAATAGAAGTCTTAAATATAAAAAATAAAGAAAAGTGGAAAATAAAAAGCTTTATGAAGTAAGTTTGTAATAAACTAAAATAAAATGCAATATAAAACAATGTGTTAAGTATTGATCTGGCCCCATACTGATGGTGAATAAACTTATTTTGCTTTAGGGATCCAGAATCTCCTCCCTCTTTTTACAAAGTGATGTGAGGGCAGCACAAAAAAGCAGACCTGTTGCCATATAGCAATATGCTAATGTCTTCTTTTTTGCCTCCTGATTTACATTCACTTTGACAGCAAAGAAGTTAAAGTGTGTATTCAAACAGAGTTGAGAGCTTCTGTAGCCTGATCAGAAATGGCTGATCGTATAGAGTTTACAGAAGGAGGAATCCTCCTGAACTTTTTATGCCACCACTAAACACATCTGTCAAGTATGGAGAACCCACTGACATTTGTGAGGCAGCTCTGGAACTACGATCTGATCACAGAGGACACGTACAAGGTAAAAGGTTTGTTTAAAATTTGAGTTCAACACATTCTTGGTGAATCAAATATATTAAAACATTTATATTTGTATGTGAAGAAAATAGAAAGAGAACAGGACCCTGAGCCAGAGTTGTACAAAGGAATGGATCCAAATAAACAAGAGAGCCACCCACTGCTTCTGGAGCTGTGTGTTTGAAAAGCACATCATAGACAAGTATCCCACAGTCCAAGAGCTGCAGAGGAAACTGTTTGAAAGTGAGTGAGTTTGTCTCCATCAGCACCATTATCACAGTACTCATGTTCTTATTTCTTTATCATATATTTAGAGGCAGGTCTCAATATGAACTCACAGCTGGGAGGACAAAATGTGGTCAGGCCGGTGGTAGAGGTACCTGATGACCAGCCTGGTTCCTCTGACCCTGACGATGCAGATTATATTCTTTGAAAACCAGCACATTTTCTTTACATATATCGAGTGTCAAGTCTCAACTCCTAAAAATAGTGACTCAAGTCTGACTTGAGTCCACGTCACGACTTGCAAGTCCCTTCTTCTGCTTTTGAGGACTGCCTCATAGGGCCAGTTCAAGTGTTGGGGACAGAGAAGCAGAGAGGCTGAGGGGCCGGTCAAAGGGGCGTGGCAGGTTGGAGTCTGCCCGCGGGCCTTAGTTTGATGACCCCTGATTTAAACTATAATGATTAATATAGGCCAAGTATTGTAGGCTATTTGATGTAGATTCAACTTATAAATAAATGTAGGCATTTTAAATATCGTGTGGGTTATAATGTCTAGAGTGAAGAAGTTACAATCAGGATTTTTAATAGACAATTGCAACTGCAGATTTTACAGTAACAAGGCATACGTTCGTTTTAGCGTTACCACAGCGCCCTCTGCTGATCACAAATGTCCCCACAGAAAATGTTAACTTTCACTTTCCATACGTCACACTTCACGGAACACTGGACACAGACGCACACGAGATGCTACCTGGTACTGATTTTAGAATAAATCTTACTTTATAAATCTGTTTTTTTTTTTCTTTTGCTCTGATTTTGGGAGTTGCAGTCCTGTTATAAGCCGCGCGAGTCTCTGCTTTGCTCTGGACCTGACTGTCCCTGTATTCTGACCCAAAATGAACCCTTTAGATTTTCTGGAAGAGAAGCCGCTGCTGGGCTTCCTCCACATCAACAAAACGGAGCTGTCGTGCATGGAAAACCCGCAGACGTTTGTGAGCCAGCTCCGGGACTACAACCTGATTTCCAAGGACCAGCACTCGGTGAGTTCTTGGTGCGGGCCCCGGGGCGCAGCCGTGTGAGGGTCCCGTCGCTCTCTCCCCTCTCCCTGACTGAAAGAGCGCGCCCAGATTTGAGAGCGCGCTCAATTCAGCACGGGGCGGGTCTCCTGTTTGCAAAGATGTAGTTTAGATTTGTTTATTTTATGACTGAAACGCTCCTTTACGCATTGTACCATTACTGGCACATTTATCAAACTGAATCACATCACAAGTAATCAAGAAATACAAATTTTTGTTACTTAAGTAAAAGTACAGATATTAGAGCAAAGAAACCCAAGTAAAATCACATGACAGAATCTACTTAAATAAAGTACATGTTTGAAAATGTACTTAAAGCGTAAACAGTTAAAGTATTTTATATTTTCAGATCTAAAAAATAAAGCTTGATAAAGTTTTGATAAACATTTGTGTTGAATTTTGTTTAATAGAACCAACAGAACTGACTGGTTATTCTTAGCTCTTTTTATTTGTATATTTATGTGTATGTTTGTTCAAACTATGAAGGTGTTAAAAATAACCTCCTCTGTCTTTATAGCAGATCTCAACCTATAATAAAAAATACTTTTATTTTTCACTCCGGTTCAAACATTTAGTGGAGTAGAAAGTACAGATACCTGCTCTCAAATGTAGTGAAGTAAAAGAAAAAAGTATCCACTTTAAAGAGCCTATATTATGTTTTTTCTCTTTTTTTTTCTGATCTATAACCTAGTAAATTAAGGGTCAGCCGTATTTCTTGTCAAAAGTTGGTTGCAGCTTAAATTATCTGTAAACACAGGCTAAATAAAATTAATGAAATATTTTTGACAGAATAGCTGGGACTGACATTTTAAACCAACAAACTTGAGAACTGTTGAAATAAGTTTTACATAGGATCTGTTTTCAACCTTGATTTTATATATTTTTCTGTGCAGAAGATAAGCCGCATGAAGAGCAAAGAGAGGATAAGGAGCGAAGTGTACAGTGTTCTGGACTTTATAGAAACAAAGCGACCAGAGAGCATAAAGCGCTTCTGGAGCTGTGTGTTCAAGGAAACCATCTTGAACAAGTACCCGACTCTCCGACTGCTCCGGAACAGCCTGTTTGACGGTGAGACGCTGCTGCTCCAGTGCACCAGAGTTAACAAAACCAATTCAAGGATCCAGTGTCATTGTATTCTCCACTATTCACCAATCAGCAGAGTAAAAATCAGTGAAAATCACTGGAACATACCACAATCAGATCCAGTTTTGAATGGCTTCACATCGCTACTTCGAAACATCTATAAGAGACCTCCAAACCTGAGTCAAATGGTGGTGAGGGCCCACCTGCCGCTGGCCCCACTTCTTG